ATTGCTAATTCGTTTTTATTTGAAGAGCCGTCGAGGGGGTAATTATTCGTAAAAGCGACGTTTGTACGTTTGGCGGTGGATTGGGAAAGTTTTTCAATTTTGACATCGCAGATTTGCATTCTGAAATACGATGTAAAGCGTTTAATGAAATTCTTGATATGTTCTTCGGATTGATAAAAGTCGGCCAGGTAAATATTTTAGTTTTTTTAAATTTGATTAAAAGCTAGCTCTAAAAGGCATACCATTTCGAAAACTTTGTGCTGATTCGTAGCAATAAACTATACAATCATTTATCCCACGAATTTGAAATAAATTTGACGAAAAATACTATTTTGCACGAAATTTCTGACCATATATTTCCAACTATACACGTTCCTTTCAATATGGTAAACATTTCGGACATTGCAATTTCCATGGTTGGTAAATGTGTCGGTCAGTGCCGAGTATTTATTTTTGAGAAACTTCGAGGGTCTTCTTTCAAATCTATTTAGATGTATTTGCAACGGTGACATACATTAATAATGTGGATTTGATTTTTGTTGCTAAAAGAAACACTCACTGCTATACACGAAACGTTAGTGTTGCTGATGATACAGGCACGATCGATATAATTCTTTGGAATGACTTTGTATGTTGATTAGCAAATTGATTGGTTTCCGCAGATGGTTGGTCTTATTATTTTAGGCGACGAAATTTTCTACAGTGGTGAATACAAAAGTTCGGTTTAAAGATTTACTAGTCCAACTATTCAAAGGTAGCATAAATAAATGCATTATCTCTTGTTGTATTTTCAATCTAGGCAAACTTCAACTTACAACAATCATGACAACGATCATAAATTCAGAAGACAAAGCACAACAAGTTTAGTTTCTAGTTTACGATGATATCAAAACTGTATTGCATACTTAGACAATGCTTCTTCATTGTTCATAACTTTTGGTTTTGATTTTGTTTCAACTCACCTTTCTGTTTCAGATTTTCAATGGGTAATACTCACAGTGATTCCTTGAATCATAGTTTCAAGCGTCTTCGTATGTCCGAAACACAACAGCTATTGCAAATGTCCCCTGTCTCGATTAGTCCGAAAAGAAAGACAACGCAAAGTAACGCACAATATTCGGATCAGATTGCAATCGAATATAACAACAAGTCGATTGGTGAAACGCCTATTATTTCATGTGNACCTTTCTGTTTCAGATTTTCAATGGGTAATACTCACAGTGATTCCTTGAATCATAGTTTCAAGCGTCTTCGTATGTCCGAAACACAACAGCTATTGCAAATGTCCCCTGTCTCGATTAGTCCGAAAAGAAAGACAACGCAAAGTAACGCACAATATTCGGATCAGATTGCAATCGAATATAACAACAAGTCGATTGGTGAAACGCCTATTATTTCATGTGATGATTCACATCAAGTTGTGCTCTCTACAACGACAGATCCAAAAGATTTACCCACCGTGGCCACGAATCAGTACATGAATTTATTACCACATGAGCAATTAGTATTGTGTAATACTCAACTATTCGCAAAATCGATTGCTATTGACCATCGGAACGAAGTCGTAGGTTCAGAATTATCAGACGAAGAATTAGTTATGTGCCTACGTTCCAAAACATCTTTCTTTTGCTTGTCGGATGAAGATGTTTTACGTTGCCTGACAGAAGCCTGCTGCATTACGAAAAATTGAACTAAAAAGTGCTTTTATTGTAATCATTTGTGTACTGTACGTGTTAATATGTTCATCAATTCCCTTTTAACTATGTGATGACATTGTCGTCATTTTTTACGATGTTCGCGATGTCCTGAAATATAAAACTATGAGTGCACTTCATTCGCCACTTGTGAATCTCTATGTATACGTTAAGCTAAAGAAGACTTTAATACACGGATCATTTAGATTTGAATAAAAAAGAGCGTGCTATTAATTCGAACTCATATATATTTGTATCTGCTTCTATTTTCTCGTTTCAATTTGCAGAATATAACTTTATCTATGACGCGTACTCCACGGGCAATTATTCAACGCATTAGTCACTGGTTAGAAACGTTCACACTTGCGGAACTAGTATTTGTGCTACATGAGGATGCACGCTTGTCTCGCTTCGATAAATTTCGCTTTAAAAAGATCGGATCGTCTGTTCGTCACATGTTTTTCAGTAATCAGTCAGATATACAAATTGAAATGTTAATCGATGAACTATCGACTATTTATTGTCAAACGCGTTCTATTCATAGGCCAACTTCATTAAGCTCCAGTATGATACGCCAGCAACAACACTTTTTGGTGCCATTCCGATCAACATGTTCTATGTGCAATCGTAACTTGAATGTGTCTGATGCCATTCAAAAGCAACTTCGTCTGTATTGTGGAGATGGTTCAGTTGTTACCGGTATGTTACAGGCAGATCGCATGTTAGATAAACAAACTGTTTAATCATTGACACATCAATTATATTGAATGTTTTCTGTTTCAGCTACAACCATCAGTCTTCATTGTTATCATGATTTAACGTCTTCGACGCGCACTATCAATCAAGATCCAGTGGACATATTTTCCAACTTTACACGAATAAACAAGTGTAATGTTTACACTCACGACAGCTTACATTACGGCGATTACGTTTATTTGGGTGGAGACATTGCAGTTGAACGTGTTATTATCAATAAGTATACCGCACAGATAATACAAAATGACTTTTCGATGATGGGATTTGCTGCTAGTCTGAATCAAGAAGCAATTAATCTCGGGCATCCTCAAATGGCAGCTGTTGACCGACGGTTATTAGGAAATATTATCCATGCTTACTTAATCATTCAGTTTGATTTATCAATGGGAAACATATCAGTTTCGACTCCATGCAAATTATCTGATTTCAATGAATGGGCTTGGAATCAGTTTCCACGTTTATTGTCTAGCTTTATTTATTTATGGATGAACCACCGCACGCTTATTGGATCATGTGGTATACATTGTTCAAAATGCTTGGTCATTGATGGCCATCAAAAAAGTCGTCGTCGGATCTGTGCTTTCAAAGACGTGAAAGTACAGACAGAAGAAATGAACGATTTGGTCATTGGATGTTGCAAAACTCCTGTTCGCTATTCTCGTTATTGTGAAACCCATAATGATTTATCATCCGCAATTACCCGCAACAGGAGACGGTCGTCCACCAAAAGAAAGAAGCAAATTAAAAGGTTTTTTCACCTAGTTTCACAGAATTCTTCTCGGCGAGCTGATCGTTTAAACGCAACAAGTTGTCGAACTCTCAAAGCAAGATCTGATTCATATGTGAATAGATGTACAAGATCATTTGGAATAATCGCACTTGTTAGTAATTGCCGAATAATAACATCCTTTAGTGAATTGTATCGATCAGAAACTCTTCGTGAAATCATCAATCTGTTTGCTGTCAGTATACGAGGTTAGGAGCTAGATTTGAAGTTGGATATTCGATGTGCGTTCTTTTTCATTCCGCATTGACTAGTTGCTGGTAAGCTTGCGTCTACGTGTGTCTATGACGATGGTTGTCATCTAGTTCGATATATTAAAAATCATATCGGACGAGAAATCAATAAAACACCAGCAATGATATTACTTGATTCAACTCCTATCAGTATAGATCGAAGTCATTTTCGAAATCATGTCGGCACATTTTGTCGTACTACCATGAATCCAGACAAAAATCCATGTTTGTATTGATTTTATCATTAACACATACAATTCATTTAGCCACGTTCTGTTAAGTATTGAAGGATGTGAACACAGAAGCAGCAGAACAGACCTTTTCGTGGCTTAAGCACTATGCACCAATCATCAGCAATATGAATCACCTACGTGCTCCACTTTTCATGCTTATCTTGTTCCATCTGAAAAATTTATCTAGAGTCAAACGTTCTCCATCTTTTGTTATTGATATCGTGAGTTAATATTCATACTATATGGCCTGTCACTGTAAATTTTTTGCACAGATTGCTTCGGTGCCCAAAGTTGAAGGTGTTTCGCTATCGCATTTATCAGACATCACGATGAAAACGAACTCAAACAATTTGTCACGCA